TAACACGTTTCATACTTCGCATGGGTCTCGTGTTCCAGTCGCACGCTTCGGACCATTAGCGTGTTGTCTGACTGAACTACGCGGTAGCGTATACTACCTGCATAAAACCCGTTCTTGAAGACGCAAGATATCCTTGGCTGTGAAAAATGTGTCATAACTTTCGTATTCATAGAGCATACTTGACGTATTCATTAGTATTCGACGACGTTCACGTCAGAAGTGGCGTCGTGCATCTCGTGTTCCAGTCGCAAACTCTCGAACAACTGATAGTATTCGAAAATGTTCGAGTCATAAATGATCGCTATACCTTCGAAGAACATCTAATGCAACATTAATCTACCAAAACGTGGCCCGTATGATTTATCGAACACATCGAGTCATTCACGAGTATTAAATTTGAATACGGAAAAACAGGCCGGATTCCTATAAAATATTCTAGGTGTATTTCGAGTCAGCCGTAATCGAATACGTCAGAACATTGCGGCATACGCGGCCTGCGCCAATCCGTTTTCGAGCGAATTCGGGCCCGAATATTTGGCTTTTCGGGCAGTGAACTAGCACGGTACTAAGAAAAACGTTATTAGACATCAGATGTTGGACTTTGCTTCAAGATAGAGGCCATATAATAATAACATGGCCGATGTTTGACATCATACTATTTTCCACCCGTTGAAGAGATGGGATTTTAACATCAAGAGATGAAGTTTTAGCTGACAGTTCTTTACCTTGATATCCACACAAAAACTTCTAAGTTGGTACATAAAAAATTACTGACTAAGTTTTCCTCTCACTACCTTGACGGGTCTGGTATATCTGGTGTTAATTGTCCCGGGCCAACCTGTTTACCTGCATCCTTAAGCATCTTTAATCCTTGTTTAGCTTTCTCTAGAGGCAGAACAAATGAAGTCTTGGCAGTATGGAAGCAGAAACCACATTTGTAGTTACACTGTCTTGTGAAGTGATAGTTAACGCTTCGAGGAACTGTCGAGCAAGACAATTTATCATTGTTGCCTGCGTGCAGCGGCTGGTCTACTCGTGAAACAATCCGAGATCGTCTTCTGACCGACTTTTTGTTCCAACTTGCTTGTGTTTCTTTAGGATCGGAAGGTTTCTCTTTTTGGAGTTTTCTGTTTACAAAAATCCACTTCTTGAAGAGGAAAAGTACTGTCACTGTAAAGCCAGTGACTGACAATAGAATAAAAATGGTAAATGACATACTTTAAGGCTACTTTAAACCGGGGATATTCTCCGATAGCTAGTCTGTTGCAGCTGCCCGCTCTTCTCGAGAAAAATCTCCTACGTCGAGGGTCCGGCTGGGGCTGAACATAATAATATGTTCCTTGCATATAATGATATCCCGCGCATGTTCCGTGCATGCAACAAGCAAGACAACAAAGCAAATTGCTAGCTCAGGACATATGCTTCGATGTTCTTCAACAATACAAACTAAGATTTCTTTTAAAACAAACTAAATATAGTCATACGCAAGCTTAACCAACAGGTTCAACCCGCTTGTTTTAATTGTCGCATAATTAAAAGTAAAATCTGAGTGTGTTGCTTATGCTAATGCACAATTGAAAACTAGCCTTAATTCAGTTACAAACGGAAAACAGCCCAGGGCGAGCCAACTACATGCAAAAACCAAGAAAGTAAACAGCTGAACAATACAAAGCAAAGAAAAATATTTCCATAAGAACAATACGAAATTGATCATGTTTATCCTTTATAACACGCGTCATCCAAAGGCTAATCAGAACTTTAACTGTGGTTAAAAGCGCATTGGTGCGACGGCAGAGTCGACTGCAGCCCTAGCCGGCCTTAACTAGTGTTAGGTACAGTACGTGGTCCCGCACGATCTTTCTTGAACTTTATGTGGTAGTCTTATCGCTTACGTTTCAGAAAGAACTTGTTTTCACATAAAATGTTCCTTTTTTTTTCTTCCAGCTCTCTTTTTCTTCTGTTTTGTCTTAGTCGGCTTCAAATCAGAAGTTTCGCGCTTGTTTGCGATTTTTATTTTCCAGAACGTGTTCGTGGCCCTTTTTCTAAACCTTGGCGGTCGTGTAATAAATCTCTTATTTACCAAGCTTGCTCGGGACCGTACTGGGAGCTTACCATATTACCGGTCCACGGTCTTTTTTGTACGGACTTCGCTGCGTTCACTTTTGGGGAGAGAATTTTCCTGACCGCGTTTTGTGTTGCTTTGTTGAGGGCAATTTTTCCTCTCGTCTCCTTTTCTTGTGCGGAAATTTCAGTTTAAACTATTAAAGTAAGACTGACTTTACAAGTTGGACAATACAGATTTTCAAACATTTCGTCAAACACAGCCTGATTTCTTGCTATTTAACTTATTACTTGTACTGTACAATTTGCTAACTAGATACGCAACCAATCAGTTGAGAAGAGGATGTCTTTCGCTCTCTTTACCCCTCTCACCTGGAAATAATTGCACTCGTTTTCTCTGAGCTCCGGCTGATCTGAACTTCGTTGCTTGACTCAAACATGGAGATTTGAAGTGATGAGCCTGAAAATAGGATGCATTACGAACCTTACGGATGCGAGATCTTGGGTGCTTTCCATTAGGCCAAAAATTCCGGAATTATCAGTATGGTTCGGTCGGACCGGAAAACGGAGGAGCACTTATGTAGGAGGTCCAGCTTGACCAATAGGATCACTTGGTCTGAAATTTGGCATTCCATTTTTAAAGAAATCACTTCCTCCCCTTTCTTCTTCTCAGTAGACTTTCATTCATTTGGGAGATTGGGGAAGGAATCGAAAATGGTAATAAGAATTCTGCTTGGTTGGCACGGTTTTAGCTGATCGGCTGCGAAGGACCTGAAGCTAGATGATGAACAAAACCGGAAGCGGAAGTAAAGCGGAAGTCGAAGTTTACTCGTCCCATGAGGCTTTAGGAAACGGTGGAGTAAGAGTTGCCGTAGTGGAAGACATGGAAAACATTTCTACCTACAGGTCGCTTTTATTGGAACTTTCGAATAGTTTGACATCTTCGGACCTTGAACAGCTGAAATTCCTGTGCCGAGATGTTATACCTGCTGGACGAGCAGAGAAGATCACTCGACCGTTTGAGTTCTTCGCTGCTCTGGAACAACTAAACATGCTATCCGAGGAGAATCGTGATTTCTTGGCTTCCAAACTGATTGCTGTCAACAGAAATGACTTAAGGAATAAACTGTTAGGAATTCAAGGTAAGAATAGCAATTTACTCAGCTTGTTATCGGCAATAGGCTAGTTACACACACAAACTTTCCATTAGTTTTATTGGATTAACACAAGATCGACTTTTACTCGCTTGTTCGCATCTAGATCTGTCGCCTTCCTCAAAAGTTTCCTCATGTAAACGAATTTGATGGAACTGAAAAAGGAATTGCATTATATTGTGCATGGGCAGATCTGGAAGTTCAGAAACAGGGGGCCGAAGAATTTGCAAAAGAGTGCAAGTCAACCGGCCCAAGCGAATGAAAAATTCACTTTTCCTCACTTTTTCTAACCCAAATCCAAACCCACCAGCCTCCCTAAATCCGCCCCTATTGTGTTTAATCCCTTGTTATTATCAAAAAGTTGTTTAACAATGTGTAGTTCCAGAAAATATCCATACCTCCCCCACAGAAGGGATGTTTTCTAAGACCCCCCTTCCCTACCCCTCAGTAAATTCCAATTAAAGCTTCATGTATTTCTTTAAATTTTTCGGTCTTACAGAAAAGTCCCACACCCACCCCATGGAAAGTCAGTGGAAATTTTCAGAGGGTGGGGGATGTAGATAGTAAAATTTTTCAACAAAAGTGGGAAGCTGTTAACTAAAACATCCAGAGTTGTGGGGGATCCTCTTTGGGGTATGGATATTTTCCAGAACAGATACATTGTGTCAATAAAATTGTTATTATAGCGACAACTGGCAAACCCAGCAATTGGATAGAAACCCACCAATTACTGCACAAGAATATGACCCTTTGAACATGTAACATGTTTAAATGCATTGTTTTGTTTCAAATTATCATGCTTACATATTTTTTCTTTCAGGAGATCAGTTTGGCCAAGGTGCCATGGCATGTAGGTATTATAAGTGCATTTAGCCTAGGGGTGGCATACAGGTTTGATTCCATTTGCTCTCTTAGGTCAGGTGTAGCTCAAGTCCTGCACTATACCTGGCAAATTTGTTTGTATTAAGGTGTTCTGACTCTGATAAATGCAATTTGCTTCTGTGATTGGTCTATAGAAGAATCAGTCAATCCACAAGCTTGTTATTTCTCAATGGTTGATACTTAATTCAAATGAATACTCAAATTTTTAAAAACTCAAGTGTGAAGAGTTGATTCTCAAGAATCTGTACTGTGCATTTCAATAACATGCAAATGCTACTCAGTCAATGGCTGGGTCTTCTTAGTTGACCTCTCAGGAAATGGAAGTTTACTTCAACAAGTTCAAAAGGTCAAGTCCTGAGATGAAAACTTTAAACAATTGAAATCTGGGAGATTGCTCATTTTGACCTCTTGGCCCTAGGAAAAGTTGTTCAAAGTAGAGCACTGCAAATTCAACCACAAAAATGTGTTAAATATCCAAAAATGTTTCCAACAAAAAAGCCAAAAGTCAGCCAAAATATGTCTGAAAATGTATTTATGGGCTTTCTGTCGTATTGTCCAGGAGATTCGGTGATGTGTATGGGAGACTGGGAGATTCAGTCTGTACCCAGTAGACTCAGATGCAAGTCTGTGGGTTGCAATACTGTAGGTAGATTTCGATCCAAATATTTGTTTGTTTCTTTTTTTCTCAAAGTTAGTTTGATGTTGTCTTGACTTAGTTGTGATTGACAGCAGCTGAAATGCAGTCATTAGTTGGGATTTGAACTCCAAAGTTTGGGTGTTTTTTAAAGGTGCAGTGAAAGAGACCATAAAGCTTAATACTTTTGCCTGGTACTGATGCCAGAAATTGGACCCTAAGTATAAATCTAGGTCAGGCACTGTGCTTTTCATGCTTCTGTCATCAATTCACAGCAACAGCTGGGGAAGTGGTACCCATAGGGCTATACAATTGTGCCGTACCTGACACTTTAGTTCATGACCTTGTGGAAGATCTTAGTACAAGTTGGCGAATGCTGGGCAGGCGCCTTGGGCTTGCAGAAGGTGTGTTGAAGAACGTTGATTCAGAGCATCGCCGAGTTATAGAGAAAGGTGTGGCAATGTTTGATGAATGGAAGAATAGGAAAACTACTGATGCAACAATGCAGTTTTTGAGAGAGGGCCTGGAGAGGATAGGAAGGCGTGACTTGTCAGAAAAAGTGCGAGGTACACCTTACTTTACTTTGTTCAGCCTAATTTGAGTTCATAATTCCTATTTTGTGTTCATAATTGCAATTATCTTTTGTATATAGAATATGTGAGATTAAGCCCACTCATACATATACATACATTTTACAAGTTTTAGTTTTCAAACTTATTTCTCCACCACATTTATCCCTGAAGGAGCAAAGAGACTCCAGTTTCTTTTCTGGCAAATCAAAAGTACTTGGCATGGAATTTTAATTTGGATAAACTGCTTGAAAACATGATACACTTTCTCAAGTGTTTGAAATCCAGAATTTTGTGGCAACTCGATACATGCTAAAATTACACCTGAGTGAATAAACCAATCAAATGAGTGCATTTGCATTGCATTGATGGCCCGTTGGGATTTGTGACTGGCAAGCTGAAGTGTAATCTTTCTCATGCAATTCAAACATGTGATATGTGTCATATAATTATTCACTACCTTGCACACACTGTTTGTTCATTTGTAAATGACACAAGTGTATATGAAGAACACAATGAAAGGTTTTGTCAAATAAATGGATAAGTTCCCACATAACTAGAAACTGTAAAGTATTTTCTATGAAGTGAAATTTGTATACATGCCTACATACATATTGTATACATATGCCATACATAATATTTGAACATTTCTGTGTAGATTTTGCATTAATGGAACAGCAAAAACAGTCCACTGCTGCAGTTGAACATGACCAGCGACGTATTGAAACAGGTTTGTGATAAACTTGGGTTTGATTAGCACTGTACAAGGCTGCATTATAATTATTCTAAGTATTTGAATCTATTTAGTGTTGTTATTCACCAGAATAGTACCACATGCATCATTTTTTTTTTTAATTATGAGTTTTTAATGCTCTGTTTAAATTGTGAATATATGCTTAAAAATTGACAAAATGCTATTCATTCCACAGAGGAAGAAAGGAGACCTTTTCCAAACTTAAATGACTTGGCTCCGGCATTAGGTAATTATCCACTGACACCTGGTACACAGCGTCAACCAGAAGAGCAGGCTGAATCTTCTCAAAGGCCTTCAGCTTCATCGTCTTCAGTACTTCCCGTAGCCTCAAGTCAGTTGGATCCATCTGTTTCAAGGCCCATAGTTGCTCCAGCCCCTCCTGTACATCAACCTGCTCCAGGTTATCCAATGCCTGCAGCTATCCCAGATCAGTCTCTTCCGTATCCTGTGCCAGTTTCCCAATCTGGTAGAGATGACTCCTCACTAGTACCACTTCCAGCTTCAGCTGTACCAAGTAGTAGCAGTCCTACTCCTACAGGTCAAAATAATCCATCAACATATGCAGTAAGTGAAACTACACAAGCTAACTCAACACACGTGTCTGAGCCTAATAATGCGGGTGACTTCACTGGCCTGGATATCACAGATCATGGTACCGACAACAGCACAAGAACAAGCATTCCAGTGGATCCTGAGCTGAAATCAGAGCTAACGACCAATGGACGTTTCCTTGATCCTGAAAAGTATGACCCTGTAAAACTGATAGGATCTGGAGGTTTTGCTAAGGTAATTTATCACTTAAAATTTTGTGCATTCTGTTGTCAAAAAGGCTCAAGCATGCTGTCTAAGTAATCACAGACACTCTCATTAATTAATCCAATATCATGTTGAGTTTGAAATAAGATTCAACTGTCTCTGGGGGAAGTGAGTGTTCATGATATGGAGGTGTCCACAGGGATTCTGGTTTCTCTGTATTATGACATTACCATAAGGACAGGTTCGACTGTACATGAAACAGTGTTTGAGGGCAGAGTAGTTTAACAGACAATACACAGTGTAAGGTGAACATAAGTATAAAATTATGATGTGGTAAATTTATTCTTTCAGCTATATACTGGGTCATTTTCGTTCAGTTGATTGATGTTTTCTTATAGTCAATAATAATTTTTATTTTTGACTTGCAATAAATTGAAAGTAACGCCTTACCATTATTTATCTGATATTCTTCACTGTTCAGTTCAAATATATTTTTTTATTTATGGTAATAGATTACGCGTGTAATTTCAGCTTCTTTTCTTCTTTACTTTCTGGTATATATTATATTTTGTATGTGTGACCATGTGTACGTGTGTGTGTCCTGCCAAAACTTGACTAACCAATTTGTAAACTGGCAACCCAGCATTTTTAACCTAGTGGTTATTTCAGGTTGCCAGAACCCTAATTCGTAGCAATAGTTTATATATTTCTGTATTAATTAATGAAAAAGGGTAATAAAGAGGATGTTGATGTTGAAGGAACTAGATGACTGACTGATTCACTGAGATCAAAAATTAACTATAACACATAATAATTATAATATGTTGTGCATTAGTTTAGGGTAGGGTATTTTTTGTACATCTGCATATGAGCACAATCATTTTATACTCTTCCCTCCACAATCTCCATCTCCATCTCCATTGTATGTGTGCCACACTATTTTGCTGTGTTCTGCGATGTAAGTTTTTTGGTTAATTAATCTACAGGTATATCTCTGCATTGATAAAAAAACAAGAAAACAGATGGCAGTTAAAATGTGTGATCTTGGAGTGAACAATAGTGAAACACAAAAGGTATGATCCTATCTACCTATCCGTCCATCCGTTCATTCATCCTTTTGTCTATCCATTCGTTCATGTGTCTGTCCATCCATCCATTCGTCCCTCCCTCTCTCAATTTTTTCCTTCCCTCCTTACCTCCTTCTGTCCATCCATCCACCCATGATGATGCGCAAAATTATGAGTGGTATGGCCCCAGAGTATTTAGAGGACATGGCCTTTACTAGAAATTTTAGAAGGTCAGTTTATAATCGTAAGATCTCAAGGCAGAATCTAGCCTTACCAAAAGTTAAAACCGATAACTTCTGGAATTGCTTTGCTTAAATACTGGAGCAACAGTCTTATCAGGAGAAATGAAATATGAAAAATCCGTGGGAGCTTTTTAAAAATAAATTAAAATCGCTTAATCTCTCTATCGATTTTTAACAAAACATTTAACTCATAAGGTTATTTCTTGGTTTCGTTTATAGATATTTAATGTATTCATAATTAATATATTGACAAAAACTTGTATATAATTATTTTAAAAACTTAGTCGTCATTTGCAAGTGAATATATGAATGTTCGTATATTTGAACTGTGGAGAAAGATATGAAGACATGATTGATCACTGCAGCTATATACACAAATTAAGCAGCTGTGAAATTAGAGCCTGAAAAAAATTCAGGCCTGACTGGGATTGGAACCCATGGCCCCCGCGATACTAGTACAGTACTCTACCAACTGAGCTATCAAGCCTACTGGAAGCTGGTCACATTGTTAGTTTGTAATATACCTGTAGATGATGACGAATGCAAGTGAATATATGAAAGATCATATATTTGAACTGCGGAGAAAGATATGAAGACATGATTGATCATCACAATTATGTACACGACTTAAATAGTTGTGAAATTAAAGCCTGAAAAAATTTCAGGCCTGAACGGGACTCAAATCCATGACCTCTGCAATACCAGTGCAGTGCTCTACCAACTGAGCTATCAAGCCTACTGGGAGCTGGTCACGATGTGAGTTCATAATATATACCCATAGATGATGACGAATGCAAGTGAATATAAGAAAGATCATATATTTGAACTGCGGAGAAAGCTCATGGCTATTAGGAAGCTAGAAAAGTGTAATGTATGTAATTTTTGATCCAAGTAACCATGGTTAAATAAAGTTTCCTCTCAATCTATCCATCCATCCATCCATCTATTCCTACCTCAAAATTCAGTGTTTGCTATAGGCAGAGGTATAAATAAGTAGAGTTCTACAAAAAGGTTTCATGAGACTAAAGTTTATTGAATTTCAATGTTGATTTTTTCTTAGCAAACACAAGCAGTGAAAAAAGAAGTGAAAATTCTCACTGCTGTAAAACATGTCAACATTGTGGAATTCTTCTACACAGAGGAAAGTTGCAATACTCTGTTGCTGTTTCTGGAATACATGGAAGGGGTAAAATAAAGTAATCTTTGTTATGTTAAAAGACTGTTTCCTTCTATTTGAATAATTGAAGAGACAGATCTTTCAATACAGATATATTCTATACATTTTGTTAATTGAGAAAAACACCTGATAGGTCATAACCAAAAAGAAACAATCTATAATAATTATTTAGTAATTTTATGAACAGGAAACTTGTTAATATTATTTTGTTTTGATGAATTTTTACTCATAACACATTTTATGCAACATGTATACTGCATGGTTTATTATAGGGCTCTGTGCATGAAATGTTGGTATGCAAAGGTTCCATTCAAGAACCTTTGGTCCGAAAGTTTACACTGCAAATACTGACTGGAGTGGACTTTCTTCACAACAATAGAATTATTCATAAGGATATAAAAGGTTAGATTTGGCTCAGAGTATAAGCCCTTGCAAGGGTTTGCTGATGAAAGGAAACAAGTCTCCCAGTGTTAGTAGTGTTATATTAATATTGTGAATTCTGAATTAGTAATAAACCAATAAGAGTTTTCATTAACATACATGTACATGCAAATAGTGATGATTGATAATTGTGGCATTTATGTTTTTTTTGTTATTAACCCATTGACTCCCGTGTCACCTGTATCCAACCATCAACAACTTTGGCCTTTGTTCCACTTCTGACATCATCACCTTTGACCAAAATTGGCATCATCTATACCCAAGTTCTGCAGGAGGAAAAGATCTTTTCAATGATACCCAGATCAGAGTGATCGGCTCGATGGAGCCTGAAATATGCAGGAAAATGCTCAGAAATTTCCTGTGACTACACGTAACTATACTCCATGGTAGAAATTGCCTGTCCTGATGATGCTTTCTCAGACATTTTTGCACTGGAAGCAAGCTCAGTAGAAGGTCAATCACTGTAGCAAAAAAATAAGAAAAGGAGTAAAAGGAAAGGCAAAAAATATATAAACCAAAAAGCCTAAAGATGTAGGTCACTTTGATTTGGTCACACATTTCTGCGCATGCCTGAGCTAAAATGTTATAAAACATGATGCTAGTGGAAAGAGAGGCATGCTGTCATGTTCCAAATACCATTTTGAGTAGATTGGAGCTAATTTGGCCTAATCCAGTCTGAAAATCTCCAAAAAATGTGTTTTTGGCAAAAAGCTCTGGGAGTCAATAGGTTAATAGTAACTCAATTAATTTTGTGAATCCACTGACCTCAGCAAAAACTATTTATGCTATAGACTTTTCCCAGAACTAGGCTTCTCCCTAAGCCAAGATTAAACACATTTCCCCTTCCAAAAACCTGCCTTTTTGCCAGGCCCAGTTAACAATCATAGTTACTGTTACGCTTCACCCCTCTGTTAATATGGGGGCTGGCTAACTGGCCTTTTTAGAAAGTTGTTGTTTACAAAGGAGTTGATTGAACTGGAAAATGTCAGAACTAATGTAGCCATAATGATCACATGTAGGACTTGAAAATGCAATGTTGATTAGTTCATGCTCTTGATCTTGCAGCCCCCAATATTTCTAGATCTACAATTACTCTATTATTTATTTTGTTTCAGGTGGCAATGTTTTACTGGACAAGGATCAAATGAATGTAAAACTTGCTGACTTTGGTATCTCAAAGTTTATGACTGTAAGGGACTGTTACTGTTCATTTGTTTGTTTGTTTGTTTGATTGGCATTGATGGCTTATTGTAACAGTCTTGTGGTATTTCCAGCACCATTATATAATTATATACACTTAAGATCTGACTCAGGAAAGATACAAAACACAATCTAGATAAACAGACTTCTATAGAAGGTGACAAACTTTAAAGTGATTGAATGGAATTTTTCCTTTATGATTTTTCTAGCTTTGGGGTCATCTCAATATGTAAGGATTCTAGGAGGGGCAGCAGGCAAACATTTCTGATAAAGAGGAGGGTGGGGGGGGGGAGGTTTAACATATATTGGAGGGGCTATCTATCAAATTCCACCAGCTTCCCTACCCAAGGGAATGAATGGACCCTTGATGACCATACTTAGTGAGAACATTATGGTAGAATATCTGCCTTTGCTCTTCTTTTGTACAAACCACACTATACTCAGTCCATAATGGTACTATCTCAGGCTAATATTCTCCCTGTACAGATCTCGCATTTGGTGAATAATTAAGCAATAGAGCACTTTTTCTGTGTTAACGTAGCCTCATCTAAACACAAGGAGGGTTGGGAGAATTCCAGACAGTCATGCAAACCCTTGACTCAGTCTCAGGTTTGCATAACTTTTGAGACNCCCCCCGAGTATTTAGATGAGGCTATGTAAACATGGAAAAAGTGCTCTCTTTCTTTTATAAAGTAATTCTCAAAAATATGCGCAAATTTAAAGTGTCACAACCATGTTTACATACTCTCGTCAAAACACACCCATCGACCAATGAGAGTGCATGTAGTAGCTCAGTTATTTAATAAGATACAATGAAGCCTCTATTTTCTTTTTTGGTTATTTCAATGCTAGTGTGTATATTTTTTTCTTAGTAAATGGTGAACTGAAGAAATAAATAAATAAATGAATGAATGAATAGACAAACAAATAAATAAATATATGTGTTTTGAATCACTACAGGACCTGGGAACAGCAACTGGGAGTCGGGTGACTAAGGATGTAACTGCCACTGTCCAATGGGCAAGTCCTGAGTTACTTGCCTGCGAAGAAGTTGGATCTGAAACTGATATATGGTAAATGACATTGGTGTCACATTAACAAATAGGTTCCATGTTGCCCTGCATCTATTCAGTAATTAATCACACATGATTGTCCACTGTAAGCTATTACTGAACAGACGCACTGCAACATGGAATCTACTTGTTTCAGTGGCGGATCTATGGCAGGGGCCCAGGGGGCCTGGACCCCTCCCTTATTTTGGGTGAAAAAAGAAAAAAATCACAGAAGGAAGAAAAGCCCATGGGGCAAGCAAAATCAAATAATTATTGTGTTTTACTGATATGATATAGAAACAAGAAATTTTAATGACATAATCTATGGAAGGGATGGATGGGTGGAAAGAGGGAGGGAGAAAGGAAGGAATGGATGAAGGGAGGGGGGGGGGCAGAAGGAGAAGCAACAGAGCTAATATGAACAGGAATTAATAAATAATGTCTTGAGGCCATGCAGTTCTAATGTTATCTCATCCATTGTGGTACTGCCACGTGCCTTCATTAAGAATGGTGCATGTGTTCCTGCTTGCTTACTTGGGAAGGTTCTTATTTTTTTTTTTAATTTGGCTTTGATGTAAACAGGAGTGTTGGATGCACTGTGATAGAAATGCTGACAGCCAAACCGCCTTTAGATGAGTTACTATTGCCTCAAAGAATAGCCAAGATATTAAAACTTCAGGTAGAACCGCCTCATGACTGCACATCGATAGCTTTTGGATTTCTTAAAAAATGCCTCAGGTAAGTGCTGTTCCAATTATATTTTTAAAATGCTAACTTCACACTTAGAATTAGGAGAATAAAACAAAAGAAAGTATTTGTTCATCCCGCAACCTTATCTTATTTTATTCCCTAAGCTTCGTCCCTGTGGGGGTGGGGGTAATCCCAGAAAAATTGAGTGGGGGTGTGTGGGCCGCTTCCCAAAACCCTTACCTTATTTAAGGCGTAAGTCTGTGATTTTCCCTACCCTTTTTATGACCTGACCAAATATTTGATACCCTATTTAAGACATGACCCTTAAATCAATACCCTGTTTAGGAACTGTCTTGTAAAAAGTTCCCTAGTTCGGACCGATGTTAAACCAAATTCAAGACTAGAGTGCAAAAACATACCCCATTTGAGACCAGTATGGCCAAAGTTGAGGGAGTGTCTCCCCTCGCTGGTTAGGGAGTTGGAATTTTGATATATCATGTATTGTTCATTTTTTTAGTAAAAGGGACGTTCGTCCATCTGCTGCTAAGCTGTTAAAGGAAGATCCCTTCGTGAATTTTACAGAAGAAGAAAAGAGTCGACTGGCTTGGCTGTTCAGCTGATGTTCAGGGTATAAAAAGTAACTCCAGTCAAAGATTAATTATGACAGCTTACTTGAAGGTGATACTGTGATAAAGCCAGCGAAGAGAAGGACTAAAGCTAATGTACAAAGACATTGTAATAGATATAGTTATTACTTCGAAGTATGAGCGGATGTCGTAGCTACTAAATGACAACCAGAATCACCATAGCTTCCGGCTACGCTGTTGCTCGTATGGCTTGTCGCTAAAAACCTAAAAACCGTCTGCGTGACAAGGGTCCGTCGCTCTTTCATGGCATTTTGTCCAGGTTGAATCTGTTTAATAGAGAATGTACTATGACTCGTGAATGTTTAATTCAGAGGATCTCTTTCTCTGTAGCGAAGCGTTGTTTTGTGTCTACAGTAGTGTGAAAGTGGCAGTAGATGAATTTTAATACACATATTCAATGGAGGCTCATGCGATGGATATCATTAAAAGGAGATAAATGATGTTTGCATTTGAGAAGACTCCCTGTATTAGCCTCAGTTGCAAGGTAATTCCAGTCCAGTGCCGAGAATACGAGTATGGCCCATTTGCCTGTCACCACACGACAAATAGACGAATTGTAATACCGGATCAGATATGAATGTAGGTAGAACAAAAAACACTGAGGCTTTTCTCTCCAAATACAGTTATATCGAGCAACTAAACGCTGTAAGGTTTAGACTAGTGCTTACTCGATAGGTGCTTTATCGTTTTCCATGTAATGGAAAATATATTTTAAGAATCCAATGCTTGTTTACTGAGTAGAAGGGCCAGCATTTGTCGAGTCTGATGTAGTTGGAAAATTTTGGTTTTGAAAAATAAAATTGTCTTGAAAATAGACAGTAGCAAGTGTCAATGGGACAACTTTTCCTGCCGGTTCCGAGCTTGTCCGGCTCTTTGCAAATGGTCCCGAGCTCTTCCTATCCTCTCCGAGATGTTCCCTGGCCAATCCGGTAAACGCACAACTCAGAGGTGGGTGGGGGTTGGTGGTGTGAGGGAGGGGTGAGGGAGGGGTGAGTGGACCTCGTAAGCGGTAAGCTTGAGTGAACATGTATCGCGGAATTTCGTATAACGGACAAGTTAAAACTGAAATGAGAGGTAGTGTTTCAGTAGACACTCTGGATGTTCTAGTTAGAATCCTCGAATCTGATTTGTTCTCCCACCGTTTTCTATTTAACAATTAGATTATGAGCTCGAGAGAAATCGAGGGCGAATAATCTAATTGTTTTAGTATAAATCTACTAATCGTTCAACATTTTATCTCAATCCTCTTACCAGACACCTCGAAAACGCAAAGAAGCGACCGTCATTTTCTCAACAAGAGCACACTACTAGGCTACTCACTATCTACAACAGAATAGTTAGTGAGTAGCGTAGCCAATCAGCGAACGGCATTTGTGATAGAACGCTAGTAGAGTTTACCGCTATATTAATTGTTGATTATACAGAACCTAAAAACGATGCGCTCGTGTTGATTCATTAGTAGCTTTTGCCCATTCTGTTTAGTTATTCCACGAAATCAATTCACAACTATGGATCATAAACTCACTGAACAATGACAATGAAGCACTTGGTGAAAAATAGTAAGTCTGCATTCAGCCGCTCACAATGGCCGCACTTCGTCTAGGAAATCGGTCCCAAAGTAATAACAGATCGATAACCGATCCTTAATGGATGGTTTTTTTATGTAAATGAAACTCGTAGATATTTGATTCACAGTTTGCATATGAAAAAGTGCTACTCTTTATCTGCATTTATTGCTTTCCCAGTTTTCGGTTTCCTTTTCGTTTCGCTTCGTTTCGTGCGACATCCAATGACTTTATACTTTGTGTCTTGGTTCAGTAAAATTTCTCGTTTTCCACTGAAATATACCGTTTTGCTGTTTATAAGGTGGGGAAAGGAAACCCACTCTTAACATTGAGCTACATTGGAGGCAGTAAATATTTGTGAAGCCACTCGATAAATCTAATGGAATTCTGTTGACGCCTCTGTAGCTTTTTCCTGATTCACGAAAGCAAGAACATGCTTTGCTGGTGCCTTAGATCACTGTGCCCAAAACATTTCATGCTCGATAGTACACGAAATTTTTCCGACTCTGATTACGATCTTGCAGCGTATTTGGACGTTAGCTTACGAAAGCGATTGAATTTATGACGGAAACCGACTTGACGATTTTAAATTGCAGTCGATTGTGACCGTAAGAATATGAGATATTTTCAACTGACATTTTCTTTCCCTTGGCCTTTCTCGGCAAGTAATAAAATTTCAACTCTCCGCATTCCCGTGACGTCTCATTTTCCCTGACACTTATACAAGGTTTTTATTGAAAAATGAAAAACAAATGAAAAATGTTTAATTTGTTTTTCTCAGGAAACAAAGGAAAACAGTGTCGTATAAGTTCGGTTTTCAATGCGAGATTTTATACCAAGCTGTTGGAATGAAATGTTCTTGAGAAAACAATATTGGGAGACATTGAGAAGAGACTTTTAAAATGGTGATATCTTGTTTAATTTGAACTTTTTAACGCTGACAGCTGCAAAGAAACTATTATGGTAAATAATATTTCCCAATCGCAAGCTGTTTTCTGTGCTTAGCAACCTTCAACTACGTCACTGCTTATTTTTAAAGACAGCGAACTCATTTACAGGCAGGAAAAGCGAACGAACATGGGTGAGAAACCGCCGCCACCATACCCCGATCAACAACCGCCTGTTTCGGCGTATCCACAGCCTGGATATAACCCGACACAACCTGGTTATCCACCTCAGCAACATGGTTATCAACCGGCCGTCGCTGGTTATCCGACTCAGCCAGGTTATCCCGCGACATCCACTACTACCACGATTATTCAACAGCCGGCCACACAGATACTCGCCATTAACTTCGGTGAAGTCCCAGTAGCCATGACTTGCCCGAACTGCCGAGCAAACATTGTTACAGCGACTACCTTTGTTACTGGGACTTTAACATGGCTCGCTTGCCTGGGGTTGTGTGTTATTGGGTATGTTTTGCAAAATTATTTTATTTATTTTCGTTTTAGTCGCTATTCCGCGCGTCTTCTATATAAATGATGTTTGGGATTCAAATTAAACGTGAAAACATTTCGTTTTGTTACTCGATATCTCTAGCAAGAACTCGGTTTATCTTGGTTTTATATCAAATCCATAAGTGTGAACAGAAACAAGAATTTAAGGCACAACACCGATTAGGAAAGCGACAGCTTTAACGAAACCATTTTCAGTGTCCAAAAAGAGAAACAGTTACGTGCTATGTTAAATTTTAATGACTTTTAATCCTCCATAACGCTTAACTTTTCTCCGAATATTCCAGCTACCAATCTTATTTTCTTCTGGTTTCACTGATGGTAAATGCAAACAGTGGGAGCAATTTTAGAAACTTTTACAGGGTAATCTGTGTACCTGTAATATTAGATGCAAAGTCGTCGCTTCAGTAGACTTCCCCGAAACAACCTCAATATTAATGAACTTGAGTTGTGTTTGTAAACATTGCTTTTTAGTCCTTCGGTGGGAAGCCTGTAAACATTCTCGTATCGATTTAGACAGGCAGATTTGGCTGTTTGGTTTCATTTCCGCCTAAAAATTGTCAGGTTTTGCGGTCAGTCAGACGTAGAGATAGATGGAGCAGTTCGATAGCGTTTGTAAATATCGTGCGCAGATTTTATGAAGCTTATCAGCTTTTAAATTTGAGATTGAAAGGTTTAGAAAGGTAGGTTGGATTAAAATAACAAAGACTAACCCAACACTAAAGTGCTACGTGCGGAATATTCTTAGAAAGTGACACAATGCACTATAGTTCATTATAAACAGGTGCTGTGCTTAAATATCCCCCACATGATCGTGTTTTGTCGAATCAGACTACAGAATGCATTGCATATTGAATTAAAGCGGATTTCCATTGCCGAGTAACGAGCCTACTTAGATTTCAATACTTTCCGTGCGAAAATGAGAAAAAAAGTAAAAGGTCGCTCCTACGTTTCTCTTTAAATTAATTACGTACAGTGTATACGACATATTATACCTTGTAACATGACGTACTGAACAAATATCAATACAAGATTTGCTTGCTGTAATCGTGTTTTGGTAAAGGTGTTACCACCACGGTCATTTACATTTACATTTACTTCTTTGCGAGCTGTAATTTAGATTGTGGAAAGATTTAAGTCAATACACTGTTTTAGTAATAGAAAAATGTTGTAGAACTCGACTTTATTATTATTATTATTATTATTATTATTATTATTATTATTATTATTATTATTATTTTCTTTTAGATGTGATGCTGGTTGCTGTTTGATTCCATTTTGCTTTGATCCTTTGAAAGATGTCATTCATACATGTCCCTCGTGTGTAACACAAGTTGGGGTGTTTCGCCGAATGTGACGGGCAGATGTTCAGCATTCCAAGACTCCTCACTGAAGACCTTTTAACTAAAATAGATTAGACTTAAGTCAAAAACGCTGCTTAACTTTTGGAGACAAGCTCTTCACGCTTGTCTTTTTATTGATTTATCGCAGACAAGATGAGAAGAAACAACTGATTTGTTAGGTCTACATATGGTCATTTAACTTCCATCAAAACGTTGATTTCATTTTGTAGAACCCAAGTTTCTGTAGTTAGTAATAACGCTAGAAATTCTTGTGAATTCATCAGCTAACTTTCATCATCAACAGTGTAACAAAAAGCCACAAAAATTGTCCAAGCTGCTGCTGTATCACAAAGACAAATCAAGTCGTCGAGAGTAATCAATTTTGACGCTTACAGGTTTTAGTTTTGTCGAAGTCAGCTACACTTGAGTAAAATCCAACATATTTCGATTCGATTCGCCAATAGCTAACGAACATGCCTCAACGGATTAGCTATTTATTATAAAAAATCAGGTGCAATTTTAAAAAAAATTCATGCGTAAGATAGATGTTTTAAAACCGTTTCATGAAAGCCATGATTAAAAACAAATTTTTGTCTCTCTATGTAGCATGAGTCCTCTTGTTTTTCCTCATCCGTTTCTTCCATCACATTCTTCTTCCGGATGAATGAAATTTTTAACTATGCTCTGTAACTCTTGTCAAATCGGGCCAGTTCGAGGCAAACAAACTCACGTCACTTGTCGCTTGTCACTTGCTAAAGAATATAATATATTTTGTGACCATGCCCCATATACATTGCGCAGAGAGAGTTGTAAAACAGAAAAATGTAATATATTGTACAAATTTGTCATCCAAAATAAATTATGAATAGATTATCATGATAACTGCATAAGCGTCTCATCTTCGAGAACATGTGCAAATAAAAGACGTTTCCGAACCTACCAAAGTTAAAAACGTTTGACGCCTTAAACATTTCAATATTTGATTAAACACCTTTAAAAATTTTCAAAATAAACCCAGCATATGAATCACAGCTTTTCTCAGCTGGAAGGGGTTTATCTGCCTGTCTACTGTGTGAAAGCGTCAAAGCTACCTGAAGAAGGCTGGTTTGGCCAGCCGAAATATAGTACACCTTCAAAAAATCATTCTACGTTGTGTCGGTTTTTGCTTTTGTATTCTTCAAAGCTACAGCTCATTATGATTAGCAAATATATCGCCGTTTGAATTTGTGAGTATCAAGACAAAACGGGTCCAGCTCCAAAATGACGAGATTGGGCTCTCTGAAGCTCATTAACCCAATGACCAGTTTCTAATATTTTAATATGGTGTTTTAATTTATCCGAGTTAAAGAGGTTTTCCCGAACAATTGTAGTGCGCTAAGAGGGAAGTGCATATACATTGTAATTCGCTAGAAAAATTGGGAAATTAACAATTAACAAGCTAAAGAGGAGCATTCAAAATGCTACAGAAACTCCACGTAGTACAAGACGGGAAACTTAATTTCATAACAAAAGTTGCGAGGAAACGTGCGTGGGAACAACAGAAAGTTAGATGCAAAATAATCTCTGGAAAAACCGCGAATCGCAAGAGAGCACTGAGATACATTGGAAACGCTGGAAAAAGCGTAAAACAGAGGTCGCGTAATGTAAGTGAGGAACGCGCAGTGGGAAAATCTCAATTACTGGATAAGAATATGCATAAAAACAGGCACAGATAATCAACACAGGATGCAAAAGAGCGAGGCACTTTGAATTAATGACCAGATTTGCAGGGAAACGCGCACGAAAAGAAAGTTCGATACAATTGATCCTCTGGAAAAAGCACGAAAATGGCGAGTGCGTAATGCGGTGGAAGCGGGGGGAGGGGGGTGGAGGG